AGAATAACAGAATTGGAAGGGACCTTGGAGATCACCTAGTCCAGCCCCTTTGCTCAAGCAGGAGATCCTTACAGAATAAGAGTTTTGGAAGGGACCTCGAAGGTCTTCTAGTCCAGCCCCTTTGCTCAAGCAGAAGATCCTTATAGAATAACAGAATTGGAAGGGACCTTGGAGATCACCTAGTCCAGCCCCTTTGCTCAAGCAGGAGATCCTTACAGAATAAGAGTTTTGGAAGGGACCTCGAAGATCTTCTAGTCCAGCCCCTTTGCTCAAGCAGAAGATCCTTATAGAATAACAGAATTGGAAGGGACCTTGGAGGTCATCTAGTCCAGCCCCTTTGCTCAAGCAGGAGACCCTTACAGAATGACAGTTGGAAAGGACCTTGGAGGACTTCTAGTCCAGGCCCTTTGCTCAAGCAATCCTGACTTCCTTTTAACCGGTTTTTATTTATTTATTTCTTTTTTTGCATTTTCGAGCTCTTTCAGGTCATTGGAGCCGAAGGTTTCGGTGGCATTCTTGTTGCCATTGTTTGAATAATCATTCCTCAATTAATTACATTCCTGGCAGAGCCGGGACAGGAAGCAAAGTTTTTAAATAAATACCACTGGGGGAGGGAGGGAATCTGGAGTCCGGCAGGACCTTTTGCAAACTAACCACACGGTTTAAGAAGAGGCTTTTCTTAAATTCTGGTTTTTTCCCTCTTTTTCGCAAATTGCAAAATTGCCGAGCTTTCTCTGCAGATTTTGTCCAGGGGTGGATAAATCTGCCACTTAAGACTTCTGGGTTTTTATTTTTTGCTTTGTCTTCCTTCCAGCAATCTTAAAATGCAATATTTTTCAAGTTCCTTAAATTCCAGGACCATAGATGGATCAGATAAAATGAAGCTTTGGAGGGGGGGGGGGGAGATGTTTCTTGGCTTGTTTTGGTGAGGTTAAAAGCAATTTTAGAGAAAGAATTCAACAGATTGACAGAGCTGGAAGGGACCTTGGAGGTCATCTAGTCCAACCCCCTGCTCAAGCAGGAGACCCTACACCATTTCTGACAGGTGGGAATCCAGTCTCTTCTTGAAAGCTTCCAGGGATGAAGCTCCCACAACCTCTGAATAACAGAATAATAACGGAATAACAGAGATGGAAGGGACCTCGTAGGTCATCTAGTCCAACCCCCCAGCCAAGCAGGGGACCCTATACCCATGATGGCAAACTTATGGCACACTATAGGAGCCATATCTACTGGCACGCGAGCTGTCAGCTCCAGCTGATTTTTGGCCTTCCGGAGGGCCGAGAGAGGCTGTTTTTGCCCTCAGGCTTCAAGAAAGCTCCGGAGCCTGGGGAGGGCAAAAAAGAGGCCAAACGGGGTCAACCGGAAGTTTGGAAATGAGCTTCCAAATAATAATAGCTTCCGGAGGGGCCTTGGGGCCCCTTTTTCGCCCTCCCCAGACTCTAGGGTCTCCTCGTTGAGCAAGGGGCTGGACTAGAAGACCTCCAAGGTCCCTTCCAGCTCTATTATGTTTGCTTGACTGACTGACTGACTGATTGATTGATTGATTGATTGATTGATTGATTGGCTGATTGATTGAGAGTTTAGGTCTCCTGTTTGAGTAGGAGGTTGGACTAGAAGACCTCCAAGCACCCTTCCAGCTCTATTCTGCTTGCTTGACTAACTGATGGATTGACTGACCCACTAATTGATTGATTGACTGACTGACAGATTAACTGATTGACTGACAGATTGACTGATTGATTGACTGGTAGATTGATTGATTGATTGATTGACTGACTGACTGGTTGATTGATTGACTGACCCACTAATTGTTTGATTGACTGACTGACCGACTGACTGACTGACCGACTGATTGATTGATTGATTGATTGAAAGAGTCTAGGTCTCCTGCTTGTGTAGGAGGTTGGACTAGAAGACCTCCAAGCACCCTTCCAGCTCTATTCTGCTTGCTTGACTAACTGATGGATTGATTGATTGACTATCTGACTGACTGACTGATTGACTGACTGACTGGTTGATTGATTGACTGACTCACTAATTGACGGACTGACTGACTGACTGACAGATTGACTGATTGATTGACTGGTAGATTGATTGATTGATTAACTGACTGACTGACTGATTGATTGAAAGGGTCTAGGGTCTCCTGCTTGAGTAGGACTAGAAGACTTCCAAGGTCCCTTCCAGCTCTATTCTGATTGAAATGGTGTAGGGTTTCCTGCTTGAGTACAGGGTTGGATTAGATGACCTCCAGGCTCCCTTCCAGCTCTATTCTGTTTGATTGATTGACTGATGGACTGATTGATTGACTAATTGATTGACTGACTGATTGACTGATTGATTGAAATGGTCTAGGGACTTCTACTTGAGCAGGGGGTTGGACTAGAAGACCTCCAAGGTCCCTTCCAGCTCATTCCGTTAGTCTGTTAGATCTGCTGATGCTTTTGTGCTCTCTTTGGGTTTCCCTCTGTAGACAACCAACCCTGGTGAGATTTGAACCGGGAGCACCGAGGGCCACTGCAGCCGCACAAGAACCCAGGCTGGAGAACTGGTGATCCGTCCTTCGCAGTCCTCATGGCCTGGATCCCAGCCTCCTCGGGATCTTTCGTTCAGCCCACGGAGCCCGAGAGGTGGGAGGTGGCCGAGCCCCCATCCGACCCAGCCAGGGCCACTGAGGGAGGGGCTGAGCTGTCCCGGGGGGCCTTTTCCAGCAACGGCTTGCAGACATGCCGGGAGTCCCCGCCCTGCCCTCTGGGCCAGATGACCTCTGGGGTGGCCCCCGTTCCATCTCCTTCCTGCGTCAGCCAAGCCCCCGGGCTGCTTTCCGACCGGTCCATCTCAGGCTCCTCCACCTGCTCATCGCTGGCCAGCTCGTCCCAGGAGTCGGACGACGTCTTCAGTGACGTTGAAGGAAGGACGGGCACTGCGAAGAAACGGGTGCTGAGGAAGGTGAGACGTGTGTGTGTGTGTAGGGCCAGAGCTGGCATGTGCGGGGGTCTTTCTTTAAAAGCAGAGGGATCCTGTTGTGGCTCACCAGCAGAGCCGGAAGCAGATTCGGACAGTGAGGAGGTTGGGGAGGAACCTGGGCCAGTCCTGGAATTTGGGGAAGGCTCTAGTGAGGCCTCTGTGTCGGAGGCAGAGAGGGGGCCAGGGCCATTCAACCGTTATCAGCTGCCTTCGGAGTCAGACATCAGTGAGGCAGAAGAACAGCTGGAGCCTGTTCCCAGTGTGCGCATGCGCAGAGCTGCCAGACGAAGGGAAGAGCTAAAGAACAGGGGTCGACTTGGGAGGAAGGCCACAGGTGGACGATGAATGGCCCCTCCCAGAGGGAATAAAAGGGGAGCAAAAGGGGAGTGGAGTTTGTAGGAGTTCGCTTAATTGGTTCGTGACTCTCTGAGACTCCTGGCCAAGTTTTGCAGATGTCGGCCTGGCAGCTCTCCAAGCCAGATGAGGTCTGTGACCGTAAATCCTCCCTTGAAAGACTTTGCTGGAGGTGAAGGAGCAGAATTCACAGGAAATGAATAAAAGGGGTTTTTGTTGGGACGAGGAGTTTGCTCCAGGCTCTCGGGAAGCCTCGCTCAGAACAGATCCAACTTTGGCAACTTTTAAGACCTGTGGACTTCAACTCCCAGAATTCTCCAGCCAGCTTTGTGAATCGGTGCGGTTGTTAAATGAATCACACAGTTGTTAAGTGAATCTGGTTTCCCCAGTTGACTTAAGCTTGGAGAAGGGGATCGTTTTACGAATTGGTTTGCCACCGTTGTTAAGTGAACCACTGAAGTTATTCAATTAGCAACCTGGTTGTTAAGTGAATCTGGTTTTTCCCATTGCTTGTCAGAGAGTGGGGAAAAGGAGATTGTTTTACAATGGTTGCTTGCCACCGTTGCTAAGTGAGTCACCGCCGTTGCTCAATGAATCAAACTGTGTTGTTAAGTGAATCTGGTTCCCCCCCCTTGACTGTGCTTCTCAGAAGGTCGCCAAAGAGGGATCACATGACCCCGGGGACAACTGCGACCGTCATAAATTCAAGTCAGTTGGCAAGAGTCTGGATTTTGATTGCAGGTGGATGGGGTTACTGTGCCATAAAGTGTGAAAATCGGTCCCACTTAGGGCACAGAAAGTCCGTTTTTTCAGTGCCGTGGTGACTTCGAACAGTCGCTAAAACGAACGGTCGCAAGTCGAGGATACATGTAAGTGATTTATTGACGCAGATCAGCCTACAGATTGATCTGTGCATTTCTGTTTCCCCTCCCGAAGCAGGGAATTCATGGAAAACTGGGCTAAATCTGCAAGGGAGGCTCTTTGACATCCGGCCAAGGCATCGTATGAAGGTTTAATCTAAGTTTGTTTGTTTTGGCTGTTTGCATTTTAAGCTTGAACGCTCTTGCTTGATGTTAGCCAAACGTAAAACTAAAACAAAAATAGGTTTACATTAGATGATAATGTTAGAAAACAGGATGTGGATATGTCCACATAACCCAATGAGGGCCAACCTTTTTGACTTTGCACGCCGAAAGCACACTTGTGCATATGTGATAGCCTGCACAACCGCTATCCCTTAATGCAATTGTGCACGCACACTCCTAGAATGCCCCAGCTATTCCCTGACTGAGGAATTCCGGGAATCCTGAGGAAGGTTGAGAAACATTGGCTTAGCTAGGGGAAACTTAAATTAAATCCCTCCTTTTCAAAAACCCAACCCTGGCTTCCCTTAAACCCGTACATTGCTCCCCAAAATCTGGATTAAAACCACCCCAAATTAGATCAAAGTAATTTTTCTTTGGATAATAACACTGCACACAACAAAGATTTAAATGAAAACTTTCCGGTCAGTTTTTCGTTTGCGTAAGAAACTTTTTCCCCCCTGGAAGCACAACTTTCACGCATGGTGAAGAGTGGCAAGTTAAAATAGGAAGGAAATGCAATGCTGGGATTTCCAAGATATTTGTTTGCAAAAATAGCAGCACTGGATTTTTGCAAAATTAGCAAAAACAAATGCTAATTTTTTAAAAAAAATAAATGACATTATCAGCTGTGCAAAAGTGAATAAATGAACTGAGGTTTAAAATTGGGATTTGGGATACACACCCCTCCCCCAGAATGGGGGGGGCTATTTGCACCAGTGTCCCTCATCCCCAATCATGCAGGATGGGGATTATGGGACATAAATACCCTACCAATTGGAGAGGTCTTCTGGAAGCTGAGTTAGAAGTTTTGCTTTTGAGAAAATGAGGAAGTTTGATATTTTGGATGGGTTTTGTTAAGGTTTTCAATAACAACCACATTAATTCTTTAAAATCCCACTCCTCTCCTCTCTTTTGCCCACTTCCCAGGTAGACTGGCAAATATCCTTCTGCATATACAGGTAATCAGGAGACTGTGAGTTCAATCCTAGGTAGAGGCAGTTATTTCTCTCTCTGGGCACAATGAGAATACATCGGCTGAAACAAAACTCCGCATCGGCAACAGGGAAGGGCATCTGGCCAATAAAACACTGTGCTAGCTTTATTCAGTTGCCCAGGCTCCACCCCGGGATTATGGGGTCATTAAAAGATGATGATATACAGGTAATCATCAACTTATGGCCACAATGGAGCCCAACATTTCTGTTGCTAAGCGAGACGGTTGTTGAGTGAGTTTTGGCCCATTTTACAACTTTTCTCACCGCCATTGTTCAGCGAATCATTCCCCTGGAAGAGTTAGCAACCTGATTGTTAAACGAATCTGGCTTCCCCACTTACTTTGCTTGTCAGAAGGTCACAGAAAGGGGATCACTTAGGACACGGGAATAGTCATAAGTACGAAGCAGTTGCCAAGCATCTGAGGAATTCCGGGAGTTGAAGTCCACCCATTTTCAAGCTGCTCATTGCTCCCCAAATACGGATAAATAACCGCAAATGAAATAAAAGCACCTGAATTTTGATCACGGGACCATGGCAATGGCTGCAAAGTTTGTAACTCTGAAAGTCGCTCAAAAGTCACATTTTTCAGAGCCGTCGTGACGGTCACTAAATGGACCATCATAAGTCGAGGACTGCCTGTAACCTCCTGCATACATGGGGAGTCCTTGATGTATGACACCACAATTGGTCAGATTTGTGTAAATGTAAGGCTTGACTTTACCTTGAATTTCATTTGGTGAGACAGGTTGTAGCTTCGCTCACTAAACAAATAATTTTAAACTGAGGACTACCTGTATTAATTGGGGGAAAAACCATCTTTGCCCCCTACATCAAACATTCAAGTGTCCAAATTAAAGGATTAAACCTCCCGTTGCATTTTTTTTTAAAATTCCAACCATCAGAAGTTGAGAAGTCCCTTAACATTAACAACTAATTTTAGTAAAAGACAGAAGGTTCTCAAACCCCCCCCCCTTTTTAAAGAAGAAGAAGAAGAAGAATTGGAGTTGGCGAAGGAGAAGGAGAAGAAAAAGAAAAAGAAAAAAAAGAATTGGAGGAGGAGAGGAGGAGGAGGAGGAGGAGGAGGAGGAG